CAAAACAGTGTGAGGTCTGAGGGATGAAACATAGCATAACTATACACAGCTGAGATTTTGAAAGATTCCTGCTAAGTCAGTTTAGATTTGAGCTACAGGTGACCTTTAGGCTCCACAAACTTGGATTACAAAATCAAAGGAGCCATATGGAAAATTGTTGGCCGAATGCTGACTGCATCCCATCGTCTGCAGTCATTCTTCGGTATTCAGACAGCTGTGGGTGCCAGCTGTCAGAATACAGACGCCAGCAGAGGAGATCCTTCCATCCACGCTGTTTAGTGTGGATGGGGTTACTAAATAATTTTATCATTCTGGGCCTGAACGTCTGTTCCCTAATCTGCTCTGTGCTAAATGAAGCAGGGAGTGCTGTGCTTTTTGTGCTTCCTGCTTCAGAACTGTCAGAAGCCAGCTAAAGTGCCGGGTAAACAGATGATGAAGCATCTTCCTGTGCTTCATCGTCTGCAATGGAGGGCAGGAGAGACATCAGAACCCAGATGTCTCCATAAATAGAACCTGTAAACTGAAGTATCCACTGCACACCATACAGCAATGGAGACCGTTGATATGATGTCCACCAATGGCGCTGTGTGAATCCAAGGATTACGCAATGGAGATCCCCAGCATTTATTCCAGGAGTGGAATGAATTTAATAAATAGATTTATTCCACTCCCTGTGTGCTGGTGATCTTCCTGGCTGAATCCATAAATAGAACCTGTCACCTCCAAATGCTGTCACATAGGGGGCTTGCAAGCCCCTTTTATGATAGCAAAAGTTAGGTGGAAAAAAAAAGGGTGATAAAAAAGTATAAAAAATTAATAATAAATAAAAATAAAAACGTAAAAAGAAAATAAAAAATAAAGTGATAAAAATAGTAAAATAAAAAAAAAATTAAAACCAGCCCGCCCTGCCATCTGATTCAAATGAACATGTGCACACAGGTGTGTGTAAACGGAGGGGGGAGATTTAAAATAAAAAAAAAGTCCAATGCGTAGTGATTGGAAACACACACCAGCTGTGCATTACAGTGGAGGTTTGAATGCGGCTTGAGTAGCAGACTGCATTAAGGTGCCCATACACCTGCCGATTATCTACGATAATCGCGGGTGATCCCGCGATCGTACGATAATCGGCAGGTGTATGGGCAGCGTGCAACCTCTTCTACTGTAAGGTCGCAAGACTTTCGTCTTCCGAGCACGCTTGAAAACCTGCCGAAAATCGTACGATTTTCAGCGGGTTAGTGGCGTGCTCGGGAGACGAATGCCGCATGGGCCGGTGTGCGCAATCACACTGCCCGCTCAGCACTGCAATCATCGGAAGCCCACCCCTCAGCAGGGAGGGCTTGCGATAATCGCAAGTACGATCTGCCTGTCCAAGATGGGCAGATTGTACGAAATTTGAATTACCTTACAACCATCGCACAACAAAAGTTGTGCGATGGTTGTAAGGTGTATGGCCAGCTTAACAGACACAATCGTTATCTGTCCGTACCACGATTTGGACCTCAGCTCTATAAAAAATCTTATAAAAAATCTCACAACAGGGCGCAAAACTTGCAGGGTACCTGTTTAAAACATTGGTGCTGACAGATGTGTAAAGGAAAAACCACACTTACGTTTGAGTGGGAGAGGACCAGGAGAGGGGAGGCCTTCCAGAAGGATCGAGTGGTCCAGGGTGCTTGGATTGAAGTAGTCGCGGGAACTGGCAGCCGCAGTTTGAAGAATGGAAGACTGATGGCCAGGAGGGGAGACAAGGTGGTGCTGGGACTGTATCCGTATCCCTCTTGTGTGGACTGAAAAGGGAGACGGTGCGTGGGTAGAACGCTGGATTTGACTTGGTGGTGCTTCGGCTGTACAAGCACCCGTCTCTGCAGCTGTCAGGACGGTGCTTGGAGCGGAGAGCAGTCCTGTCCCTTAGGGTCTGGTAACGAGGGCGCATGTAGCGTCTGACTGTGTACGGGAAGAGGCTGTTAAAAACACTGTAATAGAACTGTAAAAAAGGCTATTTGAGAGTAGCCTGCTTAGCGAGTCACAAGTGGGGAGAAGACTCGGGATAACACCGGGGAGTGACGCGTTTCGAGGAAACCTCTTTCTCAGGCTCTAACGGCCTGAGCCTGAGAAAGAGGTTTCCTCGAAACGCGTCGCTCCCCGGTGTTATCCCGAGTCTTCTCCCCACTTGTGACTCGCTAAGCAGGCTACTCTCAAATAGCCCTTTTTACAGTAAGTGTGGTTTTTCCTTTACACATCTGTCAGCACCAATGTTTTAAACAGGTACCCTGCAAGTTTTGCGCCCTGTTGTGAGATTTTTTATAGCAAACACAGGTCCTCCTACTGTTTTTTTGGGCAGCACACTGCAATTTGTTCATTTTTGAGCCTCTTTCCAAGAGCGCTGTTTGTCCATTCACAGTTTTCTATAAAAAATCTTACTCGCCGGACCCCCTTTTTTTTTTTCTAATTCACTACCCCTGCTCGAAGCCATTGTATTGTAGATTATTGCCAGTTAATGCCAACCTAAACATGCCTCACTAAGCAAAGCTCTAACATGGCAGTGCTGAGGGGGAATGTTTTTTTCATCAAGTTTCCACCACAAGGTCACATTTTTGATGATGGCACAATGGGCAGCAACTGTAATATAAATATGTGAACCCTCCAAGCAAAGGCATTGTAGATACTTTGTTACAAACAAGTAAAACACTTCATAAGCACCTAATACCTTCACAAATATAGTAAGGGCGTTTCATTCCGTTCTACCAAAACTCCCCCGCCTCACATTTAGATATGAGGTGCCACAACTGACAAAATATGACAAGATCAGCCTGCAATTATAAGCAACACATCAATTCACACAATCATGCAGCTGCTTTCGATATACAATACATTTCTTTGATTGACTCATTCATTTGCTTTAAGAAATTTATATCCAATTCTCAATTACAAGCAAAGCGTTCTGAAAGCTGTAGATTCAAATGAATATAGAGTTCGTTTTCACAAAACGTATAGTGTTTTATTGAAAGGCACAGACAAAATGCAAAGCTTCTTACAAAGGAATGTGAATGATAAACTGCCAATCAAGCTGATGTGCTTTATACTGTGACTGTCTTGACGCCAACAGCTGTGACAAGAGTCAATCTCTTTGAAGCATTTATAATGCTGACGGAAGTGGCTCACAACGATGTGTTTAAATCACTAGTTTTATCAGGCATAGAAAAATAAACAGAAGGTTCATTTGGAGGACTACAAACATCTAAAGTTTGTATCAGCAAAAACAACTTTTCTTCATTGTGCTCTGTAAAAATCTTTCCTACTCTCATAAATAAAGAGAAACATGGAATACCTGGCATTTCAAAAGAAAACCCATTAAATGTGGAAATCCTGGAGCTTCTGGTGATTCATGTAAAAAGAGACTGATCCTGTATGATTTTCTGTTGAATTTTGGTTTGCTTTCCCTGCTATACCCCATTCCTGCTTGACCTTTCGCCTACACCCCTGACTTCTTCCTAATGTCTCCTGTGAAAGCATAAAGAGCTGGTCCTAAATGTCCCTGCACAATATGGTTGAGGAAATTTAGAACTGCTTACCAGCATTTTTGTGACATTATCTGTCAATTAGTTCAAGGGATTCCTGTTGTGTCATCATCTGCTATAATTCATGGAATTTATCCTGCATACAGCAACAGGGTTATTCACAAAAGGGTGAAGAGTTTGGAGAAGGCAGGAGAAGTGAACAATCTAGGACAATAGAGCTGAACTGGAAAGTGAGCTGAACTGGAGAATCAGCTATTTTGGCCTTGATTGTTCACTTCTCCTGCCTTCTTCAAATACTTCACCCTTTTGTGAATAACCCTTTTGCTGTACTTATACTCTACGTTAGCCCTGCCCGTATGATTCCAGGTTGCCTCTTTTTCTGGGTGTGGTACAATATTCCGGTGCAGTAAAGAAAAGCTTCCAAGATTTTATTCAAAATGTGACCCCAAGACATGAAGCAGACTTTAGAGTTTCCTAAGAAACAGGGCTGCTATACTAAAGATGCAGAGTTGTTAGCTTAGCAAAGTGAACGCTTGCTTAGCTTAGTAAATAAGTTGAAGCTGTGTGCACTTCAAAAACCTGGGAAGTGGTGATCAGAGAGCGAGTATTGAGCATGCTCAATGGTTTGGTTATAGCCAACCCCTCCCACTAATGATACTCTCTGCAATGGTTGGCTTATCATAAAACCACAGCCAAATAAGATGTAACCCCAGCACAATTTATGGTCATAGCAAAGTCTGGTGGATGAAACAAGATAAGTGACCCCTTAGAACACCCTACTAGTAAAAAATAATACCTACACATAGTCTAAAACATACACTGTACTAGTTCAGGGGGTGTTAGGGGTACATCCCTACATATGCAATAATAACCATAATGACTGTTGCTCTTAAAACACCAAACAATTTGGCTGTTATGGATACAGACACCACTGCTAAACAGAAACCAATAATAGATCTTCTGTGTACGTCTGACAAGTTACCAATTTTACTGACCACTTGTACTAACCACTACTCAGCACTGCAAGCAATACACTGGATAAAAACAGAAAAGATGAACAAAATATAATCAAAACTGAGTTTTTTTTTCAGTCTAACCTACACATTATTTCTCCATCCCCTGTAAGAAGAGTAAATAAAAATGTAAAACTGGCATTTTTTGTAAAACTTTGGTAGTAGATTATAGCATTAAATAATATACTTTTGTGTTAGAAAAATCTGAGACCGATGCAGCAACACAAGTTTTGCATGTTAGTGTGCTACTTCAATGCACTGTTCCCAACACATCTTTCTTGCAGTGCACCGTGTGGTGGTGTGTTGCCTTGTTAAAAATAGTACACTCACTGTTTTTTGGTGCGTTAAGCAGCCCATTCAAATGAATGGGCTGCCTTAACGCAATGTCCATTAACATGTGTTCGCAAAGAGCAAAATTGGCCCTGACAGAAGGAAAATAGAAAACAAGAAACTTTCCAGCTCTTACCAGCATGAAGATAGGCTAAATCTGGATTCTCAATGTCTGTATGTTGTTCTTTCAGATGGTTTCGAAACTCCATAGGGGAATTGGTTCCATAGCTACACTTAGGACAATTGTACATCTTCACTCCTTCGTGCTTGCCAGTGTGCAAAATATGTTTGCGAACATTTTCAGCACAATTTGACCTAGGGCAACAAAGCATTATTAATGTTATACATAAATAAAACACTGTACATGATAATCCCTTTTACAGTAGATAGAATACATATTATGATCTAAAACAGCTTGATAAGAGGATAATACAGTGTTGTTGCTTAAATGTAGCGGTTGTACCAAGATTGTACTAACTTTAAGTTCTTTGCACAGTTTTTTTTTATCCCATTCCCAACTTACATTGAAAGGCTGACAGATGAAGCCTGACTGGTTGATAGGGGCGACACAAGCACTATTTGATACCGCTAGAACATTTTCAATTGAAGAGCTCAAAAAACGTACCATATTAAATGTTGCAACAATTATGCAACATTCCAAATTTCTACAATCACACCATGAAAATTCTGAACATTTCGAATTAGAAACCTAGGGTATTTCAAGAGCCTGTATCAACATGGAAGAACAATCTAATTAACAATAGGGCAACACAGTGATGCTGGCATTTAATTAAGGTGGAAATAAGCCCATTTATCTTTTTCCCAACTGCAAAGAACAAAAAAAAAGTATATCATATTTTGCTACTTCAGCAAGATGATCTGAGAATGAAACGTGAACGAATATATGTTTTCTTTAACTTTAAAGTCATTTAGGTGTTGACACCACAGCAAAAGCCTCCACAAGTGATTAATGTAAGAGTGTGCAGTGAGCTAAAGGTATATTGCCGGCCAAACAGAAATAGCAATTGGCGGTGGCTAGGACTATTACAAAAGATGCCACCCTGTAAAAGGACAGAGTAGTTACTTATCAGGCCAAAGGAGCTTATTTAATTTTTTTTACAAAACATCAATATATAAATACAAAAATTAAACCAAACCATGTTCTATGACCGATCGCTTGGGCTTTCAAAACTGCCTCAAAGATATGTCCAATTCTTTTTTCCTTTTCTCACTCCTGAATTCCAACCATTGGACATATCTTTGAGGCAGTTTTGAAAGCCCAAGCGATCGGTCATAGAACATACATTGATGATTGAAAAGGATATCATCAGGTCTGGCCCAGGAGAATGTTTGAGATGTTATTATTCAATAGAATACAATTTTTTTTTTTTTTTAGTGTTTTTCGCTCTCCTAACTCCTGTTCTGATTTGGGGGTTGCCCTGCTCTTTGCTCCGTTTCTCTGGGTTCCTCCCTGTCCGCGCCCATGGTTGGATGATGGACAGTGGTGGATTCCCCCATCTTAGAGATTATTAAAGACAGTAGCCTATTCCTGAAGAAGCGGATCTCCGTGAAAAACGTGTAGAAATTTGTTTTCCTCCCACTGGACTACAATGAAATAAGGAAGCTATCCAGCAAACTGTAAAAAGTACTGTAATGTTAAAATTGTGGGAGGATGCAGCTACATCCTTTGGTCTTTTTTAGACAATTTTTTCTGTTCTTTTAAAATCATGCATTTTTAGATACGTTTATAAATAAAAATGTGTTACATTTTATATAAAACAAGTACACTTGTGTTATCAAACTATTACATAACTGTATATAATTGTACATTTGTAGTGGTTAGGACTGTGGCCATGCAGTTCTGGGTCCTGGGTTTGGATCTCACTATATAGTTTTTATGCCCTTCCTATGTTTGCTTGGGTTTCCTCCAGGTGTTCTAGCTTGCTCTCACAATCCAGAACAATACTATTGGTCTAACTAGCTTCCTTTCAAAATTAATCCTAGTATGAGGGTGGTAGGGATATTAGATTGTTTTAGGGGGCAGGGACTGATGTACTCTGTAAAGCAGTGTGGAATATCTGCGCTTTATAAATACTGCATATAAACAAATTAAATGTTTTTTTCTGCATCCAATGCACTGTAACCTTAGCTTAATGAAGGCTTTTCTTTAAAGTAGACCTTGCATAAAAGGTCTGCTACTCTTGTACTCTTGCAGCCCTCAGTGAAAACGCTAAATGACAGCAATATTTTAAGAAACATACCTTACACCACAACTTCTGACACACTCACCTGACATCACTGGGCCTCACCGCAGGGTCCTGGGAAAGCTGGGGATCCCATATTATATTCTGTGAGAATACGTTCCTGCACTGTACTTTAATGTCTTCTGCCAAGATCTGGGATACTCTGCTTTGTTTCACGAGGCCCAGTGATGTCATCCTCAATTAAACAAGTGTGCTGGAAGCTGTGGTGTAAGTTGAGTATTTTTCTTCCAATGTTTTACAAAAATATTGCTTTCAATTAAGTAACCTCGCATTTCTTTTTTAACAGTTATTTTTGTATAGTGTACAGGATGCCAGGAATGCGTTCTGGACAGATGGTATATTTCCCCGCTAATTAGGTTGTAGTCCCTTTAAGGAGATGGAAAAAAAAGGTTTTATCAGAATTTCTCACCAATGCACGGTGAGCGGTTCTGGGGCAATTTTTAGAAGGGAAACTGCTATGCAGTCTTCCCAGGATTGGTAGTTCTGAAACCAGAGATATTGGGTGGGAAAGAGCCTCCAACTCTGACACACACTAGCTCACAAACTAGCGTCCTCCCGTTACCGTAAGCACTATACAGCTTGCGGTATACTGAGACGCCACAGCCGGAGCGGATCCCGACTTAGACGACGGGATCCGCCCAGCTGCGTGAGCGACAGCTGGCTCTGCCTATCTAGAGGCAGAGCCGGCTGTACCCGCCCCCTCCCCCGTCCGTTCCGCCAGTCAGCGATGGCAGATCGGAGCGGGGAGAGGGGAATCCAGCCCCTCCCCCTGTCATGGCAGAGAGCCGTGACAGGATCGAGAGGTGAGCGAACCCGGTATGTGTTCGCTCACCTCCCGATCTACTGAGCCGACCTGTGACAGTCTCATTGTCACAGGTCGGCTAGAACTATGAGGTGAGTGAAAAGCACTCACCTCATAGTTCTCCTTTAACACTGACTTTGGGCTTTGGCTGCGAAGGGGGTTCCATTGATTGGTAGAGGGGCTTGCTATGGTGCTTTGGGCTGTCGGACCCTTTATGTACACTCAATGCATGAGGAGGACCCCAGCGACCTATTTTCCATTTATGTTGGGGGTACATGGGGAAGTTAAGAATGTTTCCCTATACCCCAGCATCCTGCCCTGGACCAGACTGTGGAATTGTATTTGGAGATCACTTCCATATTTCCTTAGTCACACTTTATGTTTAAGCCCTCTTGTGCCTATTATAAGTACAGGGTGTGAATTCATCAGCACATGAGGAGATAACCCTGTCCCTGGCTCAATTCATAAGAAAATCTATTTTCTGGAATCAGGGTGGATACAGGTTTCCTGACATCAGGTGTTGTTTGTATTCTCTGTTATAATTAGGTTTGGGTGATCACCTCCAGACTGCTAGGTGCCTGGACAGAATCTATTGTTCTCCTGGAGTGAAGAGGCCTTGCCAAGTGTTTGATTGTTTATTTTCTCCTGGGACTTGTAATGTGTGCCATACCTGTCTAGGGGGACGTTTTGTGTATAAACACTGTGCTGTTTGTCAATAAAGTCAGTCTGGGTTTCACCCTAATAATCACTACTTCTGCCTGGTTATTAGGGGAGGTTTGGGCTGCCATTACTATCTTCTGGTTCCAGAGTGGAGGAAGCTGAATTCGGAAGGATGTACCCAGTCGGGGTACTAGGCAGTCTGTCACAGTTTGTAATTACCTGTAATATGTACACTGGGGGTTCCTACATTTGCTCATTACAGAATCCGTGAAAAAAAGTAGACCCTCTAATGATGTGAAAAACCCACAATCCAGTAGCCAAACAACATGTCATTTTTGCTTTGTCTGTAAATAGCATATTGACAAGGAAGGGATACTTTAATACTGCATGTTATGAATGAACAGGAAGCCTCTATACTGAGTATTCCTGTCCATTCAGAAACTGTGGATATAGTATGAGTTACTATGTCCACAATCATGAATATGTTCATTCATATTTGGGGACACAGTAAACATACTAAGCATACATGTCCTCAATTATTTACAAACACTAATCATTGAGAGCTTATAACCGCTCTCCATCCTGACTCCTTTGGCTGTCACAGACACTGACAGGCCCTCTCGGCCTCCTGAAGGTTTCTCTTCTCCCCGCTGGACACTGCTCTGTGTCAGAGGGAACACAGGGCAGCGCCCAACAGGAAGGAGAGAAACTATGGATGTCAGTAGAAAAATGGTACTTTCAGCATTTTGCCCAAAGTACCATTTTCGGCTGATATGTTTTGGCGGCTGACATTTCAGTGCATCCCTACCTTCAATTTAAATGCAAGGTCTACCTAGGCATAGTTTATGTCACATGCCTTCCAGCAAGATCCCAGGTGAGGTTCCAAAATCTCACAAGATGATGATCCTGTACTGTGCTGGAGCATCATAGATGAGAGTTCACAGAAACTCACTGAAAGGCCATGTCACCCTCATGTAACCGCTGCATTGTAAAAGCTGTAGTGTGAGGCATGTTCATTTTTTACCTAATGTGAAATACTTTTATTGTTTAATTCTGCCTTTTTACATGGGGGAGTAAAGAGTCCAAGGATAAGCAGTCCTTGCATTTTCATATACTGTATATCAAGCATTAATAATTTGCATATTAAGCATTCATCAGATTCTTTTTTTGTTTTTTATTAAGGTGACTTTAAAATAGTTGCTTTTAACCTGTGCATGAAAAAAAGGTTTTTAGAACATTTCTTTGTTGTTAGTATCTGTTGTTCTTTAATGACTGGTTCACTGTCAAGAAGAAGCAGGTGGTCATTTTTCTGTGTCAAGCAAAACAAAAAAAACTTTTGAGAACTGGCAGTCTCCCAGAGTAATGTCTGGCAGTATCATATTCAAACACCACCTTTTCCCAGAAAACAGTTGATAAAATAAGATGGGCACAGTTTCTGTATATATGTAATTCTGCTATAAAATAAGATGGGCACAGTTTCTGTATATATGTAATTCTGCTATAAAATAAGATGGGCACAGTTTCTGTATATATGTAATTCTGCTATAAAGGAATTATGTGCCATACAGCAGGATGGGATGTTTCTAGAT